GGGACCACACCCTGCGCACCCCTATGGTGTCGATCGAGAAAGTGCCAAGCCTGCCGTGCCCTGCGCCATGGCCCGCATAAACGCCGCGCTCGGGGACCACCCCCTGCGCAACCCTGATGGTGCCGAGATAATGCCACGCCTGCTATGCCCTGCGCCATGGCCCGCATCGACGCCGCGCTCGGGGATCACCCCCTGCGCAACCCCCAATGGTGTCGAGAAAGTGCCACGCCTGCGCCATGGCCCGTATTGACGCCGCGCTCGGGGGCCACCCCCTGCGCACTTCCTATGGCGTCGAGAAAGCGCCACGCCTGCCATGCCCTGCGCCATGGCCAGCATAGAGGCCGCGCTCGGGGAGGCTGCGCGCGTCTGCGCGCGCGCGAGGAGAGGGGGAAGGAGAGGGAGGCGGGTGGGAGACGCGGGTGCGACGCGGCAGAAAACAAAACCCGAACCCCACGAAACACGCGGGGAAAAAATGGAAGCGTCACAAAGATGGACAGCGAATGGGCGTTAAAAGGGGACTTGATGGAGAATTCGCCAGCATCCGTTGCCACCCATAAACACAAGAGAACTCCAAACGGGGCACGCGTTGGAAAAGCCTTCTGGCAAGAGGGCCCGGTCCGCTCGCACCCCTTATGGCTAGAAGAGTCCAGATCGAAAACGCATGGATGCAGGAATTTCTGAAGAGGGGGACGGGGACGCGAAAATGCATTTGCAGAATCGCTCATAAATCCTGCACTCAATCTGACCCCCCCCCCCCCCCCTGGCATTCCCTCTCGTTCATCCTACAGCAAGACGCAGCATCCGCCTAACATCTCACGACACACCCCCTCAAGAATTCCCTTTGCGAGACGAGACATGCAAAATGGCGAGCTCCACATTCCGCCACATCTCCGCCAGAGGCAGAACAAAGAGATTAAAGCTCCCAAACCGCATGCGCGCGGACCCTCCTTGCTGCGGACACTTCACCACCATGGGAGACTGATTCACGGCTGATGGGCTATCGCAGGGACGCCGCGGCAAAACCGCGCGCGAGAAATTTCGCGACTGGCTCTCGAATCCCACTGCGGCACAGAACAGGACACGTCTGCAATTTCCTGGTGAACCTTAAAGCCTCAGAAGAAGAACTAAAGTATAGCCCCCCGCATGGTGCCCGCGAGCTTGCAGACGCTTGCCGAGGACTTCGAAGCGCACGCGACGCCCCCTTTCCAGGCGAAAAGAAACTCACGGCAGTTGCCGAGAGACCGAACGGCGCTGCACAGATGGGTACTCGCGCCTTAGTGTACGCCGCTGGGTCACCACCTCCATTCCGAGTAAGGCCGCGCGATATTATTGCCCCTGCCCTCTGCCACGATGCACGACAGGACATGGAAGGGAAGTCCAATTGGCAGCCCCAATTTGGATTCCATTTCCCCCCAGCACTTCTCCCCATCGGTTCCCGCACCCGCCGCGGGCCTCCACCGGGATCACGATATGAGGCGGGCAAGACGGGGGCCCCCGTAGTCTCGGGTACATTTCCGGGGCTTGCACACAAAGCGGGGGGGGCACGTTGGACCAGAAAGTTACGTTGTTCCTTTGGGCTCGCTCGACGGTCTGAATATGGCGATTGGGCGCCGACCCGATGGCACACGACTAATCATCGAGAAATCAGAACAAGTCTACAGTGCCATATCTGACCCTACAACGCCGAGTCGAGGACCAGAACTCCCATTGAAAGATGCTCACGAGAAGGCCTTCTCACACGCATTGCTGCGGCGACAGCGCCGCGCAAGGCGACAGCTGGTCGTTCCTCCAGCAGAGCACGACCAATCGCAGACAGACCTCGGTCGCCCAGCTCCATCGCCGCCTCCTTCTGTGCCAGATGAGAAAAGCGAGGCCGCAGACGGCCCCGCCCACCCGGGCGGTAAATGGTTTCGATCACCAACAAGACGCCCCAGCTGAGCAGGAGGGAAGCTCGGCTTGCGTTCTGTTGAATATAAACTGGAGAGACAGTCACACTTCCCAAACAGACGCCGCGGTTCCAGAAGGGGGCCCAAGACCTGAACAGATACTAGCTCGAACCACCCAATGACGAGACAACGTGGGATATGTTGAGGATAAGCAACTTGTTGATGGACGGTCTACTGACAAGCTATATAACAGGCCCCCGCTGATCCTGACCACGACCCTGTCACTCGGACACGAGTCGAAGATTCCCCATGCGGCACCCATTCCTTGAAAGAAAGTCCTTGGCTCTACGAATCCTGGGCCGCATCCCTGCAGATGGCCCCACGCGACCAAGGGACCCAACGGAGAACGAATCAAAGCCATGGAAAGATACAAAGCCGAGGAGTTGGGGATTGAGGATAAAGGGCCACGCCTCGAACTTCTGAGAGAGATTGGCATCCGGGTAGCGAGGGTTGCCCGCGACGCGGGCAACGTTGCTGTCGCGGGAGAATTCCTACCAGGTGTCGGCCCGCACCATTTGCAGACAATAGAGCTTCTGCCAGAGTCCGACATTGAATCTGACGAAGAGAACACTCGGTGGCAGCAACTGCGGCATGGGGGAACGATCTTTCGAGATGGCGCCCATCCAGGCTCAGCCTGTGACGATCATCGACCTTGGGCAACGCCTTCCTCAAACTGGGCTTGCCTGGCTACGAGCCAGGCGGCCGCCGCCCAACGGCGTTGCGCGCCCAGACTACCATGACAGCCATCGACGTCTTGCGACCAGGTACATCGAGCGAAAGAGAACATGGTTCTTGAATACTGCTACAACCCATTCACGGACACGAACCAAGCATTCGATTGGGGAAAGTCGGCGACCGACTCAGTCGGCTTGTTGACTGATCCTGAATCTTGCGCGATCGACGCAACTGTAGCACGCTCGGTTACAAAATCCGAGGTAGCTGTGAAACCAGAAGCCCAAAAGGCGCTTCTAGCTGAATGGGACAGACTCCGATCCATCGGGACGTGGGACGAAAGCAAAATACAGGAGTATCACGACGTTGTCAAGAGCCTGAAAGTGGGAACTTCACATGTCGGTGGGCTCTTTGGGATTCCTATTGCGAAGAATTCTGAATTTATAGAAGGACAAAAAGACCGTAATTTCAAGGGAAGAGTTTGACGGTTCTGGCGCGCGCGATCGGAACAAGGACGTGGCATTCTCCCAAGAGCGTTCGAGCAGTCCTGCTATCATGCACGCCAGCAAGGTGGCGGACACGCATGGGTTATTTGACGGCCAGCAGATACAACAGGTTAACGCAAAACAGGATTACACCCAATCCAAGTTGGCCTGGACTCCCACTTGGATTTGGTTGCCACGAGAGGAATGGCCAGACCCCCCGCCACATATGCTGAACCCTGTTTGTTCATTGATATTCCCATTGCGCGGACGCCTCGATTCTGGAGGGCACTGGGAGCAGCGCTGCGGGAGACGTCTTCTCGAAAGGTTCTGATGCATGCAGCCCTTGGCGCAGCTGCCATCAACATTCGAATGCGAAGCGGTTCCTGACCATTTACGTCGGTGGTTTCAAAATGTCTGGCCCACCATGTAATATGGACGTTGGATGGGAGAGGGTTCAAGAATATGCGGGGGGCTGTCTG